TGACAACAATGACCTCACAATGTGTGTTGCTGAGGTCACTTGTATCCTTAATAAGGGGTGTCTGCAACAGGGTGACAATGCAAGTGCACAAATTGAATAGTTTTGTCACAGTAAGTGCCTGAACAAGAGCCTTCATGGAATGATTACCAGGTGTTCATTTAATGAACACTGCAGGTTTAGGAAAATGTAAAAAAAAACTTTGAAATTATATCAATATGTTAGGCCTTATTTTAGATGTTTAGGATTGGGTTTAGATTTACTTTAATGACTGTAGTGGAAATCATAGCAAGATTTTTTAGGCACAGGACCTCTTCATTGGGCTGATTACAAATAAAAGGGTGATGTCAAAAGCACACAGCCCTTTGAAGTGCTAACAAAGAAGAACTGTTTGTAAAAGCATTCTCACTAGGCAGCACATTTGATGAAAAACAACACGTATTCTTGATTAATGGGTAGCCACACTTATGGACCTTAAATTAAAATAAAGTTGAGTTTTATCTTAAGGATTCTGGGAGAAATGTTGGGAATTTTAATATACCCCAGCTGTCAATAGCATTCATCAAGCAAATGGTTTTGACCACTGCTTCTGAGAAAAAATATTTTTTCGAGGAGCTGTACCATGCAATACCATCTAACCAAGGCATTAGTACCAATAGGAATGGTAACTGCGCAATAAAAATGGTTAACCTGGCTTACGATTTTTTTCTAACCATTAAACCATTACAGCACCCACCTTAAATCACGCACAAGATCTTTTAATAATAGATGGAACAAAGAGTGACTGCTCCTTGGTCACAGACAAGCAAAACCATCACCCCATTGACTAGTGGGTATGCTACCTTAACAAGAGGCCAACACTTGCCCAGTTCTCCATCCAGGTGCTTGCTTGCCCAGTTTTCCATCCAGATGCTTGCTTGTCCATCCTCCTCCTGTTAAAACTTGTCACTTTTTCCAAGTTTGGAGAGATGTACTCTTTTTAAAAGAATCTTGGATGAGTGTTATTTATATCTCCCACTCCCAAGTCTAGAATAATTGATATACCACTACTATCAGAAGTAGCTGATACCTATCTAACACCGTCATACCAGACTACCATATGCTCACAAGAGACACATACATGTATATGTCCTTCTATTCTCTAATCTATGTCTTAACATTTTCTGTCCCATTAACTGCTCATGGTCCCTCCCTTATTTAGCATCAGCTTCTGTATCCACTAGCTACTGTTGCTAATGAAAGGAAAAGGCCATTTCTACATTACCGTCATCATTTTTTCCTCAATACTTTAAATATTTTTAAAATCCTTATTTCCTTACATGGCTGGAGTTCCAAACACAACACAAAAAAACAAATTTGGCAAAAACTTGCTTTTCATCTGTGATGTTTTTACCTGAAAGAACTGCATTAGTTTTATAGATGTGTTTGTTTGGTCACAGGACTTCCCCCTTTATTTGCTTGCTACTATATATCCTATACTGTTGTTGCCTTCACTATGGGGTCTATTCACGAAGCTGCCGAAGGATCTAGCCGTAGCTTCGGCCGATCCTTCGGCTAGCTTCGGCCCCAGGACCCCTTCGGTTCAGTAGAACCGAAGGGGTGCTGTATGGGCTATTCACAATTGCCCGTACAGCTCCCGAACGTGGCCGAGCGGCTTAGTTGAGATGAACGCATATGCATCGGCTCGGCTGAGCCGTGCTGAAAAACGCTCCGTGTTAGAATAAAGAAAAAAAAAAGAAAAAGCAGTATTTCTCTCCTGGGCAGCTGGGAGCGGAAGGCTCCCAGAGTGCCCGGCAGAGTTTTGTTTTTTTTGACGGCAGCAGAGCTGCCGGACAATAGGAAACTATTGCTAGCTAGCTCCGCCCAATCATTTTCTATTTACTTTTTTTAACTCTTTTTGTGTTCTGCTTGGTCCCTCTGAGGGGACCAAGCAGAAACATCCATCCCTTCGTCACAAGCTTTAGATCCAGCATAAAATGTCCCAGGAATCAAAAGCCCATTTGTTTTTTATAAAGTGAAATCTTGCAGAAAAAAAAAGTTTGCTATGGATGGGAGGGCAACTAAAAGTGACAGCAGGTCTCAATTTAACAACAAAATAAAAAAGTAAAAAAAGCCTCAAATAATAGGAAAAAAGGTAGCAAGGGGATTGATTGCCCAGAAAGTTATCAAGCAGCAGGAGTAGCCTGCCGGAGGTTCGGCTCAGCCGATCCAGATGTTGGATCGGCTAAGTCGAACTCCTTCTGCACTTCGGGTTGGCCAAACATCCTGAGCATGTTCGGCCGAACCGAAGCAATGTGAAGCAAGCCGATGTACGGCTGAAATCAGCCGTACCAGCCTGAAGTGAATAGCCGAACACTGTTCGGCTCACTTCACTTGGGGTCGGTTGTTCACTTGGCTGCCCTCGGCAGCTTAGTGAATAGACCCATATGTTTAATAAGATGAGTGGCTTTTGAGTTGTTGAAAGTATAATTTTTTTGATACATATTGTACATATACAGTAAAGCAAAATCCAATCCACTTCTTGCTTCATGCATACAAATAGTCTAATGGCATGACTTAAGCAATTGGTTAGGCTGGAAATGCCATGTTTTTATATGTAGAATTTTACATTTTGGTTACCTGCACTTTTTAAAAGAGTTATAAGGAGTTAATACTGTAATATGTCTGTGTTCTCCTTTTGTTAGATGTAAGATTTTTTGATACATACCAATCTCCTGTGATACGTGATGCCAAGTTGAAATATCTGACATCAGGAAATTATATCAGCAAATTTGTAAATACATTTTAAACCTGTTTTGTATCATATGTTTATTCATGACAAGATCACTTTATGGGGTCTATTTATAAATGTGTTCACAAGTTCAATATAACTTTCACTGAATGAACTGTAAATTCTGGTTGAAAGGTTTGTGAATCTTGTGGAATAACATTTAAAAATGTTTAATATAATTATTTTATATGCAATGAATAACTGTATATAATAGGCTTCTGATGGCTGTTTTGCTTTTGGTCATATATCTATCTATATATATATATA